AACTCTACGCGAGTAAAACACCGCACGACACTCGCCCTGAAATATACTAATTTCCACTTAATGACAAAATGTACTATTTTTGTCCATTCAAAGACTGAATGAAAATTCAAATATTGATGGGCTTAATTTTGTTCCATCACCTCCGTAAAAAATTCATTCCATATAATTAATTTTGTTTTGCCCGCATATATTATCGGAGCAAGCCTCCACCATAAATATTTACTTCGACATTTCTTCTTCCCTTCGCATATCGATCCCTACAATTCGAGGGTGTCTGGTCTCCCTTCACAACATGGGGGAAGTTTCGATTTGATGACTCAGTGCTGTAATACACGGGAAATGGAATTACCGTCTAGTCTGGATGCGACGGCTGTGACGGACAAACACTTCTGTTCGTCTCTGATCTGGTTGAATTGGTTTTATGGCGGTGAATGCTGCCATAAAGAAAGGCATTACGCTTCGATTTTATTTTTATTCACTCACCGCCGATGCTTACACCAGTGGGTGTTCTATACTTTTCTTTATTCCCCTCTTTTTCGTGGATATCAATTAATATTCCATGGATCTAGATAAAACGTGACATAACTGTTTCATGCCTTCGTTTTTTATTCTCTTTTTTGTACACAATTGCTTTCGCAATTGCCTCGTTGCTACATCGGATTGATATTTATATGAGAAATTTTGTAACGAATTCGTTATTCACTACTTCGTTACATTCTCACGCATCATTTGTAACACGCGGAACAATAATAAATCAAGGGATTGATGAATCAATGTTCCAGAAATTGTTTTGAAAAAAGGAGAAAAGGCATTGTTTTGATTTACCTGTTGTAATTGAAAAAATCATTTTGCTGACACTTTCATTGACCTCAATTTTCCTCCCAGGCAACGGATTTCGTGATTAATTCGACATTGACATAATTTTCCTCAAATTTTCCTCGAATCGTCAATATATTGAACTAAATTTAACATAATGAGTAACTCTAAAATTTTGTTTTGTCATAAAATTAGTTCAATAATCTGGGTTATTCAATGAAATGCTGTGAATTGTTTTCGGATTATTCAATTCCACGGAGAATGAAAATGCTGCTTTCATCACGTGGTGCGAGAAAGTAACTTTTTAGGCACGTTTGGCGTGCCTAACACGTTTCTTTTTCACCCATTGTGGTGGAAAGTATCGTTTGATACTCATGGGAAAAGTGTTTTTTTGCTCGTGGGATTATATCACCCGTCTTCGGCTCGTGCTATAGACCTCCCACGAGCCAAAATAGTATATTTCAGGGCGAGTGCCATGATCCTCGCCTTCAGCTCGGACTCCAATTCCACACGAGTAAAATAAACCCATCACACTAGTCGTGAACGATATTTTTCCGTAGTGATTTTCACTTTTACGAGTTCAGGGAAGGGTTAATACCAATCTCCGGACTGGGAAAAGTGAAGGTCAGTAGGGAAAAACACTTTTCCGTACTCGTATCGAAATATACTATTACATGAGAAAATTTTCCAAATTTTGAATATCGTACTTCCTAGCATGAATTTTATTAGATGCTAGGAAATTTAACAATCAAAGACATTTTTACGACCGGTATATTCAACATCTATATTATCCCCTGGGCTATTCTAGTAAAGTTATCTTAAGGAATTCCATTGAAAAAAGATGCATAATGGCATTCATCCGCAATTTATGGTGGATGTTTAGAATTACAGTTGAATTATCTATTATTATTTTTATTCCATTTCACTGTATACCTTTTGGATTTTACAATTTCTTATTCCTTCATCCCGTTTTTTTCCGCATATTTATTTTTCCCAAATGCTCTTGCCAGTTTTTCCAAACAATGTTTCTTCCCTGAGTTGTTCCCACGTGTAGGGCTCGTTGAATTATCTATGAATTTTCTTAAAATTTTCTAGGTTTCCTTTTTAAGTTATTAACGATCGACGCTTTTCATATATGAGCTCGTATGGACGTTTTTCTGTTTATCACGAAACTGCATTATCATCTGAACTGATAATATAGTTTCATGCTAATTTGAAAAATCGCCATAAGAGCCCATCTCTAAGAAGTTAAATTGGATGATATCATAACTTGTGAGCAAAATCGAGAAAAATTCGAAAAAAATCCTGAAATTATTTGATAACTACGATGAACAATATGAACATTCTATGAAAATCTCAATGCAATGCCATAATTTTTTTGACAGATGAAACTCCTTAGTTTCTAGAAAAAATTTGAATGAAAATAATCATAAAAATTTTAATAAATTCAAGTTAATTTCTTCTTATGGGAGGATAAACAAATCTGGATTTTTTAACCCTTCAAGTACTGCGTCCATGCCACATATGGACCTTTTCCGTGATTAATAAAAATTCATTATTTTTTGTACTATTGTAGATATAGGAATTCTAAAAATTTTCCCATCAAATATATAAAATTACCAACACATTTTGACTCGAATTTTTTTTCAAGTCATTTTTAATATTTTTCTCCAGTACATAAACATTACCGAACTGAATTCGGTGTCGGATGCATATTCAAACCACTCGTTTATCGAGATGATTTTTATTAATAATTGTGAAATTTTTATCAAACATACTCTATCCATTCCTTTGCTGAATTAATGGCATAAACGAAATTTCGATTTAATGAATCACTGATTTGTTATCAATAAATTTCCGATAATAGCCGATCTTGGCAACCGTTTGTTCGAACTGAGATTGGTCTTAAATATTTCAGAAAAATCTGCAGAAAGAAAAACCGTAGCTAAACGACTTTTTGGAGAAAGCTCAAGATTATCATTAAATTTTAGTTCATAATTTTTTGATCATCAGTATAGACGGTGTCGCGCATTGAACAGCGAATTTGTGTGCCGTAAATTCCAGAATATTTTATTGCTTTTTTCTGAATTGACATGAATTGATTTCCGAAAAATATCTATTCTACAAAATTTTTCCATAAAATAATTGGAAAATACGTCAGCTTTTGTCATTCAACGAATGATGCATCTTAAGGATATCCAACTATCTTTTATAGTTTGGTGCAGACCGCACTATAGATTCAACCATTTTTAATCACCAAATTTGTCAATTAAATTGTGTAAGAAAAATTGAAAAAAATCAAGAATATTCATTGTCATTAAAATTACATTTCGCATAGAATTATTCTGTTTTTAACATTCGTTGTTTACAAATAAATGATTGAAATTGGTTACACTTTCAGAAACCTTATTTTTTAGTCATGAAATCGATTTTTTTTTTAATTGTGAATATAAATCAATTTGTAACGATTCTAAACAAATGATTTTTATAGTGGAAATAGATTGTTTATAAATTATTTCATGAATGTTCCTCCAAAAATAACTTTCTAATTTTTTTCAGATTTCAAAAAGTTTTCTAACGGTTCAATATCGAGATTCAACTTCAGAATTCCGAAGTTTAAATAATAAAATCACTGAAAAATGTCCGGAAATTTGGGGTCAAATGGAGTTCCAATGAAAGTTCTGATTTTTTTACTACAAAAGTAGAAAATCATTTCACTGGAGAACAAATAGTCAAGTATTCATGGTTACGGATTCCGGATGGATGCCGCGTCTAGATTCAGCTTTTTGCCGACGTTTCGCAAACATTTCAGTTCACGTCGAAATGTCTGAGGCGACAGCCTCAAAACTCAAATAGCCAATTGGATATCCTTAAGAAAAGAAGCTTCTCAAATCTCTTCTTTTTTCTATAAATTTCAGAAACTTTTCCCCTCCATACGTCCTCTAATAATTCGAACATGCCATTTTCGTCGATTACGCGAGTATTTGCCAAATGAGAGTGTTGCATTGCAACAAGTTTCAAAAGAACAATTCATTTAAAGTTTTTAACGAAGAGAAATATTTTGTAAAAATTTAAATTTTGTGAAAAGAGAAAAATATAAATTTAACATATTCGAGACATTTCATTTCAGAATTCTTCATTCCTCCGATGAATTCCGGCTTCACAAATGAGATAAGAAGATTGATCATGTATCACGGGTCAGGATTGAATTAATTGGCCGCCCTTTTTTCTTTTGTTGAAAGCATTCATCTGTAAATCTGAGAATTCCAATCGATTTCCAAGTCCCTGCAGAACCGATACGACCGCTTCAATCAATTCCACCAGTGATCCCGCAATTCTCGTTCTACAATAATACTCGAGACAGACATCACACGGTGAACGTTCTATCCGCATAATTGACATCGCTGTCCTCGACTCAGTCTTCCACGTCTAGAAAGCGTGGTCGCGTCTAAAATCTCTCACTTTTTCTCTCAACTCTTATTTTTTTTTATTTTTAAAAGAGGTCTCCCTCTGCTTTACCAACAAATTAAATCCCGCGTATTGCCAACGGTAAGGGGAATTCCTCTGCTACCGATGTATCAGAGAATATCTGTTCTGTTCTCTCCGTGATATAAACTGAATGAAGGGGGGAATACGAATGTAATTGCAGCGAGGACGGTGAATGCGTTTCCACGCACACGCGCGATATCTTTGTATAAATGTTACTGGACAAGCCGTCAGTTCAGTTGGCTAGTGAGTCCCTTAGACTGCGGAGCGGATTCATGTTCACTCTCTCAGTCTTACTACAGTAGTTAGTATCACTAACACCGGCTTCGGATGAATATAAAATCAATATTTTTCTTCAAAAAGGTAAAAACAAACACATCATTTCCTCCCACTTTTTAACTTTCTTTGACATTCGTCTTAATTTTTCATCGAAATTTGTGAAATGTGACATTGGAATTATTGCATCGTTTATTCCTGTTTTAAATCAGTGTTCCCCTGACTTGCCTCAACCGAAACAGTGATTGACCCACAAATCTATAAATAAAATAATCATTAATCCCCCTCGAAACCCCTGAAAATGGTTTCAGCAAAAAATGCAAGTAATAAATCTCGGAAATACCTCCCCATCCGTGAATAGGGACCAAGTTTGATTGCCGTAGGTCGTCGAGCGAATGCGCGGCTCAGTCGTGCCAGAAGCGTCGCGCTGTGAACATCATCATCCCCCGTGTGTCCAAAAATCTCGAATTAATTCATCAATTTTACGTTGAAAATCCTTGAAAAAACAAACGTGTGAACTCATTCTGAAGAAAAATTGTGTGGTAATCACTAGCCCGTGAGTCACGTCAATTAACATTACCGTGTGTTTTTCTCTCTTCGTTGTGCCGTGCACTTTTTGCGGTATAAAATCAATGCCATTTGAAATTGTCTACTTCAATTTATGTTTGAGCGACAGTTTTGATAAACAGTTTTAAACTACAGCAGATGGCGAAAATTCGATGCAGAACTTTTTGTAGCTTGGATTTTGCTCTGCGAAAAAGGTCTTCATGATAATTTAGGGCTTTTGGTTTGATTCAGAGATATTCAATGAGAAATTTTCTTGAAGTGAGCAACCTTCACGCTGAGATTAAAGATATTCAAGTAGCTTTTACAGTTTGTGTACAGACCACGCTATAAATTCAACAATTTTGAATCATCGAACTTGTCAATTAAATTGCGTGAGAAGAATTTGAAAGAAAATGAACATTCAGCGGCATTCCAATTACATTTTGCATGGAATTATTTTTTTAAACATCCGTTGTTTATAAATAAATAATTGAAATTGTTTAAACTTTTGGGAACCTTATTTTTTCAGGCATGAAATCGATTTCTGGTGAAATTCCGAATATGAATAAATGTGTTACGATTCCAAGGAAATGATTTTTGTGGCGGAAAATTGATTGTTTATAAATTATTTATAAAAAATACTCGGAATTTTCAAAAATTCCAATTTTTTATTTCATCAATATTTCAATTATTTCATCAATCATCCTCCAAAGTAAACAATTTTTTTCAGGTTTTTAAAATGTTTTCTAACGGTTCAATGTCGAGATTCAAATTTAGACCTGCAAAGTTTAAATAATAAAATCATTGTAAAATGACCGGAAGCTTAGGGACAAATCGGGCTCAAAGGAAAGCTCTGATGTTCGACAACAAAAGTAGAAGAGCACTGGATATCCTCAAGGATATTCAAGTAACTTACAGTTTGGTACCGACCACATTGTAGATTCAACCATATTCAATCATCAAATGTGTGAATTAAATTGCGAATGAAAAATTTGAAAAAAATCATGAATATTCAGCATCATTCCAATTACATTTTGCACAGAATTAACATGATTTTAACATTCGTTGTTTATAAACAACTAATTGAAATTGTTTAAACTTTCGGAAACCTTTTTTTGTACATGAAATCCATTTCTGGTAAAACTATGAATATGAATAAATTTGTTATGATTCCGTACAAATGATTTTTATGGTGGAAAGTTGATTGTTTATCAATTATTTATACAAAATGGTCTTAATTTTCAAAAATTGTATTTTTAAAATGTTTTCTAACGGTTCAATATCGAGCTAAAAATTCAAACCTGCAAAGTTTAAATGATAAAATCATTGCATTAAAGGCTCTGATGTTCGACTACAAAAGTAGAAAATCATTTCACCGGAGAAAAAACAGCCAAAGTACTTGGATACCCTCGTTCTTTTCATTAGATATTGCCGCAGACATTTCTTTCAGACCACAAAATAAACGTTACCAACAAGTTCTCTACGAAATTTTCCTAATTGATTCATTTCACTCAGACCTTTTCGTCTCCATGAATCGCGGAAAATTCACCCGAATAAAAAACCCTGTTCCTTTATCTAAAAACATACTTCAGAAATACAGAACATTATTTGCAGTTTACGAACACCTCCCCCTTTCAGAATATGATGCCAGCAAAAGTTCCAATGGTTGTCGTTGAAAAGGCCGCGAGACTTCACCCCTATAAAATTTAAAAAAACGGTAACCGGTTTTCGCTCGATTGTTTCCGAGATATTGGACGAATTATTAGAAAGTTTTTGAAAATTAATAATAAAAAAAATAAAAAAATAATAATGAATAATAATAATTATTTTAATAAATAATAATTATTATTATTAGTTATTATTATTATTATTATTATTTAAATAAAACATATTAGCTATTATTATTATTAGTTATTATTATTATTTAAATAATAATAATAACTAATAATTATTAATAATAATTAATAGTTATTATTCTTGAACTTCAGGGAAAATTTCGCTTTTAAGTGGCACCACTGAGAACAAAACCAGAAGAATGTGATAGTTTTCTTGAGCAACTTTCTATCTATCCATGTGGTGACACGTAATTTCATCACTACACATTTCATCCGCCCGACAAATCACCCGAAAAAAAAAATCAGATTAAATATTCTCGGCGTAAATGTATTCTCCACAATTATATTCCCCGTCTTTTCTTCTGCTTTCTTGTATTTCATCAGTATCTTAGTGCCGAAATTTGCGGATGAAATTTCGCAGAATTTTTTTTTCAGCGAATGAATTGTCGCCGGCTGAAATTCGCAACAATTTTTTCGGCGGATGAAATGTCACAGTGATGAAACACATGGAACCGTCCATGTATCAGAATCACCATTTCCCTACGGAATTACCTAGAAACAACTGTTCCAGTTCGAGAATTTCTCTAGTAAATGTACTTAGACCGAGTGACTGTTGTTCACACGTGTTGTCCATAGAATGAGGCACAATAAACAGATGACTAAACAGTCGACTCATTTCCTTCGTATTATTCCTCTCAACGAAAGAAAGAGAACCGAATAAATTCACAATGGCACGTAATAATATTATTCAATGGTTGCACGAGGGTCGAATTTTATTGAACGGAATTGGAAGAAGGTTGATTTAAAGCCTCTGTTTTAAAAAATGATGAAATAAACTTGCGGAGGAATGGAAAATAATCGTGGGGTTACGCATCGGCTCTGAGGGACACGCGAATCGATATGGAGCCTTGACAATCGTTTGACTCTCGTTTCAATCGACGAGGATTATCCGTGCCGGTCAGCGCGGTCTCCTCTCGGACATCGGAAAACTTTTGCAACACGTGGAACAAATTGAAAATCTATTTTTTCACTCAAAGTGGAGCGTATAAAAAGTTTGTGATTACATAAATTGAATGAAATGGGTGGTTTTTTTCTGGGTTACATTGGGCTCATTATGTTGTTATACTCATTACCTATTTATTCGTCATTTTATTACGTCAAGTACGTCAGAAAATAGTTTTTATTGTGCCTTGATGCTATTATGAGTCCGCAAACAGGTGACAGGAATTCGCGTGTTGACGACTTTGCTATCACATTATCTTGAGAGTGAAGGGATTACGAGAAAGTCATCCAATGGCATTTTTTTTATTAATAATATTTTCCATTGAGAATATTTACTGGTGAAAATGATTGTCCAAATAATTCCTTCTTGAAAGCAATCAACTTCAATACTTAATATAGATGGCTTTGGAAATATTTTCGGGACTACACTGTTGAAAAAGGAATTGAATTTTTGTGGACATTTGACTAGGAATTATACTATTCTTTTATGATTCCTGGTAAAAGATTTTTTGATAAATTTCTTTGACACAAAAATCAGTAGAAGGTGCAAACTAATTAGAATCTTGAATCTCGCTTACGAGAAAACTGAAAAACAGGCTGATCTTCGGTAAACTGTCTGCAAATTGAATAAAAGTCTCAAACTTTGAGACTGAAAAAACCTATTTTGCCCTTTAAAAGTTTGCAAAGTGAAACACAATGTTCAGAATACTGAAGTAAACAAAACTATGGACGTTAATTTTAATGGAATGATTTTTAGATTTTAGATCACCTAGAAATTGGGAAGAACAAATGGAATCAAAGCAAGTTGACTAATTAGATTTTTTCGTATTTTGTGATTTTTCCGATTTCCGGTCGATCTAAAATCTAAAAAGCATCCGATTTAAATGTTCATCCGTAGCTTTGTCGATTCTAATGAACATTGTGAACACTCTGAACATTGTGTAGTATTTTCAAGACGATAAGATAATTTTTATTCCCTTCGTAGAATTTCGAAGAGCAAAATCGGTTTTTGTTATTTTTTTAAATGCGCCGCCATATTGGGTAGGCGTAGGTGGGTCAAAACGTATTTTTTTAGTGACTACACATGTGGAAAAAACTTCACGGAGGCCATTTGTTTATTGTAGGACTTTCAAATTTCAATAGTGCCCCCCCCCCTAAATTATTCCATCAAACGTCACAAAAAGTGGCGTTAAACGTTGTCCCCTTAGTGACACAATTTTATTGAACACACTGCATGACGAATTTCAATTTCCGAGAGCTAAAATCAACTGTATTCTTCCATCTCTGCGATATCTATAAAAATATCTTCATGTGCTTCAAAAAATCTTTTTTTTTAATACCGCGCCACGGAATTAGGTCATTCCCTTTTTGCTGAAATTACCTCCATTAAAATCATTCTCTTGAACTTTAACTCTCAACTCGAAAATCCACTGGTCTTGGTATTTTAAATAAGCAAATCTGAATTTTTAATTACAGAGTAGCTTATTATTTTCTTAGAATTGACATTTCCTGATGGCTAGATGAAAAATGGAGCTGAATTTTGAAAAAAATCTATTCTACAAAATTTTTCCAGAAAATAATCCAAAAATCCACCACCTTTTATCGTTCAACAAATGATGCATCTTACACTGAGAGAAAAATATAATTCTTCTAACTATATTCCATCACCATCGAATTATAGTCAAAAAGTCCTCAACAATTTTTCATGGGTTACGGTAACTATGGCCGGAGAAGTAATTACTACAATGGAATGTAGTCATTGCAACTATTTTATAGTTCTCCTCACGATAGATTTGTCGTGGTTACTTTTGAACTACTTTTGGTTAGTTTAACTACATTTTGATTTGCAAAAATTACGCTTGTGAAGTTACTATAATGTTATGTGCCACATACAAAAAAAAATCGTATCGTTCACCAAAATGCCTCTACTATTTTCTTCTTGTCAATCTAATTTTTCTCTCAGTATAAGAAACGTAGTCTCTCAAATTTATTCTTTTTTTAAAATAAATTTCAGAAAGTTTTCCCCTCTGCATCTCTTCCTATACGAGATTATAGAAGGGAATGTCAACAAACTTTTTTCCGAAGTCAGAAAATGGGTCAAAATTTTTTCATTGCTCCAATGAATTCCGGCTTGACCAAATAAGATAAGAAGACACATTGTCTCCTTAAAGGG